AAATAATGTTAAGCCAGGCGATGGTGGCGCACGCCTTTAATCCCAGCACTCGGGAGGCAGAGGCAAGCGGATCTCTGTGAGTTCGAGACCAGCCTGGTCTACAGAGCTAGTTCCAGGACAGGCTCCAAAGCCACAGAGAAACCCTGTCTCGAAAAACCAAATAATAATAATAATATTGTTAAATAAACCATAAAAAATATTTTAAAAAGTTTTAGGGAGGCAGAGGCCAATGGATCTTTTTGAGTTCCAAGCCAGCCAGGGCTACATCATGAGACTATCTTAAAAAAAAAAAAAAAATAGTTTTTGTTTTGTTTTGTTTTTTTACTATCTAGCCTTTTAGAGAAGTTTGTTCTCTTTGAAAGAAAGTAGTAAAAGGCTCCCCCTAGCTGCTGTGACATGAAGGACAGGAGTGTGGAGGCAATGGGAATAATCCCAAATGCTTGGTCTGTGGTGGTATGGAAGTAGTGAGATGTGTCAGGTTCTGGAAATATTTAAGAGGATAGATCTGAAAACGATAATGGATTAGATTCTGGAGTGAAAGAAAGAAAGTGTCAAGAATAACTTAAAAAATGTTTTTCCCAGCTGGGTGGTAGTCGCGGACACCTTTAATCCAGCACATGGGAGGCAGATAGGTGGATCTCCGAGAGTTCGAGCCTAGTCAGGTCTACAAAGAAAATTCCAGCATAGCCAGGACTATTACACAGAGAACCCCTGTCTCAAAAAAAAAAAAAAAAACCCAAAAGTTTTTCCCATGCACTTTTATTCAACCAGATACTCATTGAGGGTCTAGATGATGGGCATTGCAACAATGACTAAGCCAGCGCTTTTGGTTTCTAGAGACTTAGCAATATGGTGTTGTGATAGCTCGTTGTCTTTTGGTGGCATCACAACTCATTTGGTTGTTTCTTTTTTTAACTTGTTTTTAGTGCTTCAAAATGTCCTTTTTTGTGGATATACCCCAGTATATATTCAGTTCACTTTTGAAGGACATCTTGATCGCTTCTAAATTTTAGTAGTTATGAATAAGACAGCTATAAACTACACCTGGCTTTTAAGTTTTTAATTTCAATGAGGGCCAATTTCTCAGTTCGTTCTTTCTTTTCTTTTCTTTCTGTTTTTTTTTTTTGTTTGTTTGTTTTTGTTTTTTGTTTTTTTTTAGAGACAGGGTTTCTCTGTGGCTTTGGAGCCTGTCCTGGAACTAGCTCTTGTAGACCAGGTTGGCCTTGAGCTCACAGAGATCTGCCTGCCTCTGCCTCTCGAGTGCTGGTATTAAAGGGTTGTGTCACCATCGCCTGACGGAACCCAGTGTCTTATGCATGGTAAATAAGCACCCTGTCACTGAGTATACATTTCCAGTTGTTGAAACTACAGCACTTTGAACTTGACCCTGACTGGTATGACAAAGGAATGAAGAAAGGACAGACACATATACAGAAAAGCTGGGTGGACTATATGCTCTGATGGAGGCACCCTAGCAGCAGCCCCAAAACTCAGTACATTTATTTATATAAATATATATGAGTGTGTGTGTATATATAATACACACACATATATATGCACATATATATATATTAACCAATTGAGGAGGCAGATTTTGCTAATTTCAGTATGTGTCTCTGTAGGGAGGTCTCAGGCTGTAAACATTTAGGAGGAAAAAAAAACCAACTGTGGTTTATACTCTGTACAGATACTGTCAACGTCTGACCTAAACCATGGGAAGATTTTGCTGTTTCTAGGAATCTAAGGCATTGAAGTTCTTGATACGCTATGTTCATATCAACAATGCACATCCACTCAGGACTTCATCCACTCTCTACACCCAGCCCTTGTTTTTTTTAAGGCAGGGTCTTGCTGTACAGCTCAGCTATCCTAGAACTCAAAGTCTTTCCGTGTCAGCCTCCCAAGTGCTAGGAGTATAGGCATGTGCCATCTGCTTATCTGAATCTTTCTGTGCATCGTAGAGTTTTGGATTTGGGGGTTATTTTGTTAAGGCAAAGTCTCAACATGCAACCCTGGCATCCTAGAACTCACAATGCAGACTAGGCTGGTCTTGAACTCAAATCAGCCTACTGTTGAATGGAAAGGGCCCTGCTTTTGGTCCCGGCCGCCCTGAAATTTAGCTTACACCTGAAATAATCACACAGAAACTGTATTCATTTAAACACTGCCTGGCCCATTAGCTCTCTCATTTCTATTAATCTGTGTATCACCATGAGGTTGTGGCTCACCAGCATGAAAGATTCAGCATGTCTGACCTGGTAGCTCCATGGCGGCTCTCTCTGCCCTTCTTCCCAGTATTCAGTTCTACTCCGCCTATCTAAGTGCTGCCCTATCAAAAGGCCAAGGCAGTTTCTCTGTTCAGCCAATGAAAGCAACACATAGACAGAAAAACCTCTTACACCAGCCTACCTCTTCCTCCTCAGGGCTGGGACTAAAGGTATTCACTACCATGCCCGCCCTGAATTTTGGAATTTAGAATTGAGGATGCTCATCCTGTGATATGCCATGCAACTCACCTGTGGAAGTGTGTGATTTAATACTTTTTAATAC